AATTGAATTAACCCTAACCCTAACCCTAACCCTTTTACTGAATGTTTCTTCATGTATTAAATGCATCAGTCCGTTTCTTCATTGACTGCAAGCCAAGACACAGTTTTTCCTGATTGTGACTTTGCCTAAATGGGAAATTGAGTGCTGAATGTCGGGAGTGCTTTACACAGGAGTGCTTAGTGCTCAACTAAAATGAGCATGACATTATGTCCTGACCTGGCACCCGATTCTCTTCTTTTTGCCAAACCTGTGTTGGCTTCTACTCTCAGAGGAAAATATATAATTAAATAGATTTTAATAGATAGATTTGTTTTCAGGTACATAGAATAATAGTTTATTTTATATATTTGTAAAAATACCTAATGGTACTATGCTTAGAATCTGCTGCGTCAAATTTTGCAAATCAACGAACGATTTTCTTTACTCTCAACGAAGGACGCTAAAAGAAAAAATCTGTGGCTTTAGGCAATCTACAGAGAGGATAAAAAGGGTAAACTGTGGGACCTGGACAGTCAATATGTGTACACTTCCTCACAGGTTAGTTACTAATGTTACTGTGTGCCGATCGTGTCTGTAGATTTAAGAGAATCAGTGAAGAGTCTTAGTGATGGTGTAAATAAAGTTTTTAAAAAATGAAAAAATATAATATATACTACCATTAAACAAGATTGGTTTGAAAATGTGGAGCAGTGTATTTTAACTTCTAATAAGGTAACTTCTTCTTACCTTCTAATAATGAGCCTTATAAAAAGCACAAGGTTTTCTACTTCTGTCGGCTCGTAGTAAAAGGTCGATTAATAAACACAAACGGCAGTTCTGCTTTAGCGATGGAATTAGTTTACAGTAACGTCACACTGGACAGACAACCAAAACAGAAAATAAGGTGTCTTAACGATAGAAACAGTGACAGATATCAGAAATATGAGATTTAATAGTCAGTTGTATATATTAGGTCCGAGGCAGACTGAAAGGTCACTCATTGACCCCCATTTCTGCATTTTTCCTATAATGACGCCGATCGTTGATGGGCAATGACATAACATTGCCTTGCTGGCCATAGGATTTTGGCTCCTAATAGCTAAAAAGCAATACGGTATTCTTATTTTATGCTATTAAAGTGGCAAAGACCTCAGAATTTTAATTTACCACCATTCAAGTAAGAGAGACTGTTTTCACCCAAAAGGGAGCGAGGGCTTGATGCAAGGCGAGCAGACACTTTGGGACAGAGGCTCAACAATCAACTCTTGGCTCTGATTGGCTGACATGTTCAAATGTGATATTTTATTATATTTATTTAAAGGGAGTTTGGTGCAGGGAGCTTTTTGTTAAATTCAAACTGCTAATATGTATAATTATTTATGTTTGGTGACCCCTACAGAAACACTAGGTAACTATTAAAGTATGATAAGGTTGTCGGATGATGACTGCTGTTATTAGTTTTATTAATGCTTTAATAATGTGTGTACTGATTACTGATGATCAGGATCAGTATCACCTAATTTTACTCTAACAGCAGTATCCTGTAAATAGTTGCCCTTTGTGTGTGTTTTTCAATTACTTTCCTGATTAAACACACACCGTGTTATTATTAATGGTGTTGGTAATGACTCCTGATGAAATGTAGTTTGCTCATATGAAGGTCTTTAGACAACAATCAATTCATATCAGTACCTCAAGAGTTTAAAATAACTAGTTGGACTTGAACTTTATGTGATTTTGATTACTCATAATGGTGTTGCATTAATCTTTGGTGCATCTAGGTCTACAGAGTGCTGTGTGTTAGTGAGTGTTATTAATAGCATCTTGACACTACATGCTTGCTGTTTAGTCCCTCTGGGTTTAGTTGTCTGCTGTAACAGCAAGTGTCATCTTTCTGATACCAATTCTGATAGGTTCATACTTGGTCATGACTTCACTATCCTGGGGGAAAAATGGCGGTCTAATAGATTCTGTGCATCAGAATGGTGTGCTGACATGCTTACTCGCCCAATACTGAATTTTAGGCATTAGGCAAAACTGTAGCTGTGAGTGACTTATTGTCAGTTGTCCCCCGCTATGTCTCTCCCTACCAGAACTCTGCCTCACTTCAAATGGACTTTGGGGCGCTAAGATCTAAACTTAGATTTACTTTCTTTGCCGAAGCTGTGGACATCACAGATGTTACTTCTTACTTCTTGTCATCTGGTCTGAGAGTGTCTAGCGCAAGTGACTGAAAGAGTATATTGTTTCATGGTTGTAGTGTTAGTTTGCTAATTGTTCGCTTGTAGTCCACTTTTTTACTTATAGTTATGTGTCATAATATGCTTTAATTCTTATACTTTTGAGGCTTGCACAGCTATGTATCCACTGGCAGAGAATCAGCTAGCATTTTTCACTACATAAGCCTAAGCCAAAGTATGATCTTGCCTTTCTGTAAAGTTTCTTTAATGCACCTGTCGGGGAAATTCTTCCATA